GTGCGATTGGCACAGGATAGAGCAGGGTTTAGGGCTGTTGTACATAGGGTCGCTATGAGTCGCAAACGACTCGACGGCGCATAACAACAACAACATATAAAGGCTACGCAATAATAATTTGTATCAAACTAATGTGATATTACTCTTCACCACATTCTAGGAAGCCTTTGTATCCTTTATAAAGCAGGGTTTTGGCCATTTACTTAGTAGATGGTTTGGTGCACATACCTAGGAAAAGTAAAACATTTTTAAAAAATTTCATAATTCGCCACCAGGGGTCAGGATAATCAAATAAATGAAATGCTTCGCGCTGTTAACAGTGGATTAGGCTTCTCTCTGTAGTTTTTTCATGACTCTAGGACAGCGTTAAAAAGACGGAGGGGGTTTAACAATGAAAGAGCTGTTGTTTTTCCAGGAAAAAAGCGAACTGGTCATGGGGATAGGGAGGAAAATGTGCAACAATGAATGAATGGAAATCCAAGTTCTTGATAAAATTTCGGTAAAACCTAAAAAAAAAAAAAAAAAAAGGGGGGTGTGTGTGTGTGAAGGAATTGGGAGAGATTCAGTGTGAAAAACAATACATATAAACTTTGTAAATAAACCAGTATTAAAGAAAAGAGACCATATTTTCAATGCAGAAATGAAACACAATTATATGAATAATTATATGTATACCAATAAAAATACGAGGGAAAAAAAGAGAGACTTAATAGTGCTTACTATTAAACTGCTGTTCTTCTAGCAGTGAAAAATGACTATGAGGGGAAATATTTTTCTTTTTACTTTATTGTCTACCAGTATTGACCATGTTTTTATTTTCTGAGATTGTGTAAAACTCAAGAAGAGAATGAATTATTTTCAGAAAAGTGTTTTAAAATCCCGTTTTGTCCCGAGGGGAAACCCCCCGCCCCCAAGTATAATCTTCGTGGGAAGCTATGGTGGTCTGGTGGGTAAGGAGACATGCTGTCAGCCCCACCACGCTCCTCCTTGAGAGAAAGACAGCCTCCCAGCATGCAGTTTACTACTTCGGCAAATCTGCCTCAGAGTCAGAGCTACGAATTACTATTGTTGGTATCAACAACAAAATATTGTTAGTATTGTTGACAAGTAATGCATTTTTTTTTAAAAAAGCACAAGACTTGTCAGGACTGTGATTGGTAGTGACCCTGCAGAGGATCAGAGCATGGTTCTGTAAATCATCCTTTGCTCTAGGCCAGGGGAAGCCATCCTTCAACTAAAATTCACTAGTTGGGCTTCACTTGTAAAATGAGTCATTATAATCTTGTTGAGATTATTTGACTTGCTTTTGAATTTCAAGTACTGGCTTTTGACCTTTAAGATTTAAAAAAAATAAGAAAAATTTTCATTCAGTCATTCAGACACAATATGTTTTAAAAAAACTGTAGTTTAATTTAATCATGAAATTACAAATTTTAATTTGCAATTATAATTTAATTTGATCATTCAAACATGCTTTTTTCCATAGCAATGATTTTGATTAATATCTCACACTCACGATTTTTAATGATATATTAGTAGTAAAATCTTATGATCTAGTACAATGGCTATGTTTTCCTTATTTTTTAACTCTTTCATTGTGCAGGATATGATGATGAATCATAGAGTTATAGACAGGTGTTTTTTACAATGGCTAATTTCAATTACAATTTCATTTAATGAAATTGCAGAACAACTGCTGATGATTATTATTTTAAAAAGCCCATAAAGATAGCAACATTTAATAAGAACACTTTTATTTTTTTGTATTTATTTTTCTCCTTACTCAGTTTACCTGTGATTGAATGTGAATGATTTTTTTGCTGCGTTGGAAGCTCCCTTTGTCTCTTGAGAAGAGCCAGCATCTGTTCTCTCTCCCCCACACTTGGACTCTGTTTTCCATCATTTCTTTCTTACCTTCCTAGAATACAAAGCTTTTTACACACAGAGAAGAGGCTTATTTTCAGATACATATTTCTCCACAGAAGGGAGTTCTGATATCCTAGTGAATGGAGAGTTGTATTGTCAGCTCCAGGGTGGACAGTTTGAATCCACCAGCTGCTTTTGGGAGAAAGAAGGGCAATCTCCTTGCCTGCAATTTATAGCTTTGAAAACCTGCTGGAGGGTTAGCTACAAGTCAGTTCCACCTAGGTGACAATGAGTCCCCCCACAGATGTGTCCTTCATAAAAGGTTATACAATATAAGTTAAGTGAGTAGATTTGATCAATTTATGAATAAGCTATGAAAGGATAAGTAAATAAATAGACTTAAGTAATACATTA